GTGGTATGATATGCCACCCTGTTCTGCTGCAGTCTGCTCCTGGATCATGCTAACAGGAAAGTGTTATACTGGACTGATTCAGGGAGTGAATCTGTCTTCTCACTGTTGCAAATTAGAGTCACACCTAAATAAAACAACAATATGAAGCAGGATGAGTAACCCCTATCAAATAACCCCTGAATTCCATTTACAAAAGATGGGACAGTCATCCAGCCATCAGCCCCAAGGAAGAAAGAAGTATGGCAGAGACGCTTTTCCAGCTGACACATTCTGAGATGCTACAAGCAGTGGAGCAAGAGCATTATCAAATTTTTGTGGGGATTCCACTTTCTGCTGGCAAGTACTGCAAAGACAATTTAATGCCACTCAGTTTTGCATACACTTTGCTTGGAAATGTTTTCACGGAGTACACCAATTAATTAAATGCTCATTTAAAGTCACCAGATTTTATTATGACACAAACTGTTTGCATTACCCAGTATTTTTCCTCAAAATAGCAACAAATCTTTCTGCCTGAGCTGTGCTGCAGTCAGCTGACAGGGTACAGTAATGCTAAGTGGCAACAAGAAAGAATCGTATTTGTGAACCATAAAACACAAATGTAACACAGCTAATTTTGAGGGTCAGGGCATGATGGGATGGCCAGAAGCAGAGAGACCACACGCTGAAGGCAGTTGACAGCGGTGCCAAATGCTTTGGCCTTTCAAAAGTAAGAAGAGTTGGGAGACCTCTAGAGGCAGATAGAGGCTGGCTGAAGCATTTCCTGGGCTCTCCTTGATTTGGCTGTGCCCTCCCTAGTGGTTTCCATACTAACTGCCCATAGCAGGACACACTGAGTAGCTGTGGGTCAGGAATCACAAATAATCTTCATGTAGGAAAAAAAAATACTTAAGCTGTGAAAAAAATAATCTTCTCTTACTTAATTCTAAACTTTCCCAAGAGCTCCTCTTGCTCATTGCTAGCACACTGTTTCTGTCTATCTGAAAAAGCTCCAAAGGAGAGCAGGGGAAAAAAAAGTACATGAAGACAATTAAATAAAAAATAATTCTAATAAAATGACAAAGAAATTCTAGAGACATATTTGGGGGAAAAGAAAAAAAGAAAGGTGATGGGTTTTCAATCCATGAGTGCCAAATTGGAAGAAAATAAACTCTTATTTTAAAAACACACCAAAATCTACCACAGAAATACCAGAAGTAGAATCAGGAAAGGATTTTTAGGGTTCTGGAGCAGGACTCATGCAAGTTCCCTTCTATCATGTCCAGATTAGGACATCAAAGCAGAGGAGAAGATAAACAGGGAGCCATCATATTCACTCTCCTCAGTGTGAAACAGCCTTTAATTATCTTTCAGGAAAAGACTGATGTCTGGGACAATTTCTAAACCTTTTTTCCAGATACCTTACTGTGTTTTTGTAATGGAGAGAAGTGTCTTGTTTTTTGCATGGTCTAAATGAGTCTTGATGAAATCAGTGTACCTAAACCTACAAGTGAGTATTTAGCACAATAGGTACATCAGATGAACTTTCCTGCATGATGGGACCAAGGCAGCATCCCACATCATCCTGTCTCTTAGAAATTACCAGAAAAAGTGTTTTGATTTCATCTCAAAGTTATGAAGCAACAAAATGGAGACAAGTAGGAGGAGATTTCTCTTCTCTTCTCTTCTCTTCTCTTCTCTTCTCTTCAAGGAGGAGATTTCTCTTCTCTTCTCGCCAGTCTTCCTTCTCAAAGAGGTATTTTGTCCAGTTCCCCATCTAGTACTCATATTCCTCACAAATTACTAAATTAGAAACTTCAATATAATTATTTGTTATAACTATTCTTTCAGTTACCTAGATAACTAGATAGTACAGCATGTGTGCCATTAGAACATTCAAAAACAAGTTGGTAAGACATATTCAGTCTCAAACAAAAAGGTCCAACCAATTTTATTTGTCATCGGTTTCCTAGAAACAGCATAATATACACAAAAGCATAGTAAAACTCTGCTCAGCACTTCTGCTTGCCTCTCCACTATTCTTTACAGATCTAAAAGAGCACTGGGAGTTGAGTTCTTGAGTAAACATTGAGTAGGGTACTCAGACCCAGTTTTAGGCAACTCGGTAAGTGCCATGTGTTTTCAGAGGTTATCTAGTGATGTCAACGAAAGTATCACTGTCAACTTTCTGAACTGAACTATTCCAGTTAGACATTTTTCATTTTGCCTCATGTGGCTGATGCTTTATATCCTTCTTGTAATAGCTGCTGAAACAAAAGATAGTCTCTCAACCTGAATGTCGTGAACTCAGAGGAAGGAGTCCTTTCCAAGAGACTGCAGACATGGTTCCACTAAACAAACCTTCAGTATTTGGATTGCTTTATTTTCTGAACTAAATCCATTCTACAGTAAGACAATTAATCTTGATATAATGGCTTTTCTCTGGGCACAAAGATCTCTAACAGCTTAATAATAGCTGAAAAAAAGAAACAGACAAAATCTGAAGCTGCATCTTTCAAATATTTTTGCATTCTCAACCTCATCCTTAAAAAAAAAATCAAAACATATAGCAAAAAAAAAACCAATGAAAACACATACCAAAAATAGCAGATTCCTTCATCTTCCAGGAAAAAGGTTTATTAAATCTTGAACAGCTGAAAGAATATCTCATAAACATTTTATACTGGAAAGTAAAAGGAACTTGCAGAAACAAGTTCAGCCCACTGGGCATTATGTGCTTATTGTTGTTAAATTATATATATGACATTGTGATGTGTGACTGAAGTTACTCTGAGAAGAAGGGAATTATATCTTGTCTGACTTTCCTTGGAAGGGATTGGAAACACCTTTAAATGTCCTAGATCTTTAACAAGATTTGTGTCATCTGAAATACACAACTCATACCACACACGATCTCATGCGGTTGCAGTGAATAGAATCACTGTCAGAAAGAATGAAACTTACAAAGATTTCAGTTTGGATTATGGCTTAGTAAGTATGGAAATAATATTAGTGTTAAACACTTTATTTATGTATTAAAAGTGACTGACTCTCAGTTTCCAACTAATCTTCTAAGAACCCATGCTCGTAGAGACATGTGGTGAGCCAGGTTCCGTGCCCCAACAAAATCACTAGGAAAACTCACCTTGCAAACTGAGTTCAATGATGTTACATTGAGAAAAATTATGCCAACCTCACAAAAGGTCATGATTTGCATAAGATTAACCTGCAGTCAAACTGGTCACACTACACCTCTAATAATATCCTTAGAATTCACACTCTTTAGAAAGGGTGAATGGAAATTTTAATGATTGAATTCACCATGTGCTCAAACAGGGACCAGAAATTACCATCTGCCATTTGCAGCCTTCTTTGAGTATCCAGCTAACATTTAACTTGTCTTCACAGTTCAGGGGGGAACATTACACTGAACAACAAATAGATCAGTACTGCTAAAGAATAAAGATATAATTGTGTACATGTGTATGCCTGAGTAGTGTGGAGAGAGGTGACAGTCCTGGATATATTTGCTGCCTGAATTTGAATTGTTTTCACATTCTCTAAAATTGTAAGTGACAAAAATCAGGCTATGAAGAATTTGAAAAAAAGAATCTTGTTAAACCCCTGTGAGATGAAGTACAACTCAGAACATAACAGTATGGAAAACTATGCCATATGTTTATTTTTAGGACCTGGCAGCAAAAAGTAACAGTTTAAGAAAGGTTCCAGCATAAAAAAAAATGCTAAAACCACATCATACAGTATTGCATACAAGATTGCAATTTATTGTCTGAGACATTTGTTATTTATGTGCAAATTTCAGATTTTTCATTGTCATCTGAAAGAAACCTCTAAATCTTTTTCCAAATCTGTTCTACAGGCAAGGTCCAAAACAAAAACAGAAAAGCTGTGGGCCAAGACTGAAACACATTGACAGTCTTCTGACTGAAAACTTCTAACATTCTTGCTTTTTGATATTCAGAAATAACTAAAATCACTGGTTTCGACTTATGAAGGTGACAGCTTCTGAATCTCCTCTCCTCCTAGGATTTATTTTTCTCTTTGAAATAGAAGAGTGTTTAAAAACAAAACACAGAGTGTTTTAGACATGACTGCCTCCAAAGGCTTTACGATTATAAAGAAGAGCCAAGGAGAGGGCTTTACCTGAAATCCATAAATATAACAAGAATAAAAATAAAGAAAAAAAAAGTAGCAGACAAAATAAGACACCTCTGGGAGACCTTGCTACATTTAAATGTCTGGACCATCTAGAGCCAGACAGCTCTCATCCCTGTCCCTGAATCCGTTTCAAATGACTGAAGAAGCACCAGCCTCACAGTGATCTTTCAGAAATAGAGGACTGATCTAGGAGCTCTTCATGTGATTTCACTTTTGTGTCAGGAGGAAAGGAGGTGAGCTAAGGGAGACCAGAGATGCACAGCCATCTGTGCCTCTGCTGTGCAAGTGAATCACTAGGTTCAGACAAAGGTAAGCAACATTTTTACGCTCAGACATTTCCCTCAAGACTTGTGTTCTGTGATTTGCAGGTCTCTCTGAGCATCTGATCCTCAATAACTACATTTAGTTTCTATTAGAAATTTGGTTGGTGAGATTTAAATGGGCAGCTGTTACAAGGAAAACAGTGTCAAAGATATTCAATTACTAACCATACTGGAATAAATATGTCAGTTATGTTCATGTGTGAAGAGAAGTGAGAGGAAAATAACACTGGAAGTGAGAAGGTGAATTTGTTTTGTGAATCAACATGACAAGCATGACTTTTGTCTCTGTAGTGCTTTCCTGCTAGCTCCCTATTCCAGGCTAGTGTTTGGCCCCAACTGCATGCAATCACTTACTTGTTTTGTCATCAGAACCTAAATTTAAGTCCTTTGAGATGCAAACATTCTCATCCTACTTTTTTTAATATGTGCTGTATATTTAGAAATCTACTCATAATTACCTTCCCCATTCCTTACAGTAAGTTTAACTATAGAAGTAGTAGATGATGTTCTCATGCAAATCAAACCCTCTAGACTCACATGGGTTATAATTATGATACTGGATGAAATGCTGGAAAATAAGCCCCTACTGTGCAGATTCCTTACAGGCTGCAGAGTAAAGGAGAAGAAAAGACTGATGTATCTGGACAAAACTATCTGAAGTTTTGCCTCTTCAGCTGCTCTGTCTCTAAATATCGCATAAAGGTGGTTACAAATTTCAAATTAATTCTGCCAATTTCATCTTTACTTAAAAAGCTTAGAAAAATCGGTTAGATTTCTTCTCTAACGTATCTTTGTGATACTGATAACCAGCCATAAAGGCAGTCGAAACATTTCCCAGCTTCTCTGTACTACAGGTCATTATGGCCAAGCATGTGTAAGGTCCCTCACTGCTCAAGTACTTGCATGGATCTGTGATCCTGAGGCTCTGGCAGGCATTCTGTTGGTGGGAGACAGCAGTGCCTCCCTCTAAAGACTACAGTTAACACCTCCACCCTGCAAACATCTCTGCACTCAAGGAACTCTATGTCAGTCACTCATCATGGTGCTGTGGCAGAACTTTCACACCCAACGCAAGGAGATTTCTACACACCAACTTGTTTGCAGGGCCAAAACCTAATTTTACACATGCCAAACTGAGTGACAAACAAATGATGATAATGAGAATGATTAAGCCTACATTTACTGTCAAGAGCTGGGGTTTAATCAGTTATGTGTCTATTACAGTTATATTTTTCAGGCAATAGGAGTTTTTAAAATACCACGCTAATCACAAATATGAGTTTCTGTCTAGCAGAGTCAAGATTTGAACCAAAATTCACCTTTTTTCACAAAACCAGTATTACCTTTTAGCACTGCTTTAGTTTCAATTAAAACATATACTGAGGGGGTAAGGAAAGCCTTAATGATACATAGACCTCAAGCCACTCTTGCAAAGACAGAAAATTTAATCTGTATGAAAATATATACCTGAGTCTTGAGTTGTAATAAATTCTTACAGCAACTGTAACTTCAAATAATGTGAAATTTCTTGTTTTAAATTACATTTTTGAATTAAGGTGAAACTTACATTGATGGGACCTCATAAGTATGTATGATTTATTAAATATGCCTGCTGGTGGTTTGTAGACATCTCATAAGGCTCTTGAAAGAGTTTCCAGGGAAATTTTGTGTAATCTGGAATATTTTGTGATTTATATACTGTACAAGCATCAGAGAGGACATTTCTTGTAACTGCCAGTGCATTTAATTCTCCTGAAGAGCTTTTCTTTTTTTTGCTTGGCTGAGGTTCTCTCTAGAATCATGTACAACTACACACTGGCTTAATGAAGCCTAGGGTGTTGGATTCCAAGTGAAGATAGAAAATACTTGCTCATTCTGAGGGAATCACATGCCCACTCTTTGGAAACATTCCCCAGATTTTCATTATCTTGTTTGCTTTCCCTTTCCCGCCTCTACACAGCACAAGCAAAGCCCACTGTGTTTCTGCTACCAATATGGATAATTACTGAGCACTGTACTAATGAAAATATGTATTGCTAAATTAAAATAGTCTCTTCTAGAGAAAATTGAATGTGGCATAAATACTAACAATTGGAATGTCTCTATTCATTTTTGTTTTTTCTTTGAAAACTTGGATACAAGTAATTTTTTGTATTTTTCATTTTTTATTTCTTTGTTTTTTGTGTCTCCGAATTACTGACTGACTGTATTGTTCTTTAAAAAACAACAAAAAAAACCCCTCTAAAATCCAACAATTTATCTTTTAGATGCATATGTCAGAGTTTTTTCTTCACTTCAAAATGTTTTGGAGATCCTCTTAGAATGTCTTGAGATGTGAACTGAAGAATCAATACTTGGGGAGATTAAATAAAACAAATTAAAAATAGAAATTTAAGCAAAGAGGAAAATGTAATTACCCATGCCTTCTGTGTACATTAAGAAAGTTACTGAGATTATTATGCATTAAACAACTGATTTAAATAAATCTATTGTGACATTAAAACAATATGTACATCACTCTAATGAGATATCTGATGTTGGATAAACACACAAGTCCTGATTTTTCAGGTTTCTACAAAACAAAGCTAACAGAAAATTAAACACAATCATTAATTTTGGAAAGAGCTGCCTTTAAAAGGCAGTTCTCGCATAATTTGATAGCTTCTGGGATTAGAAATAAAACACTGTTCTATTCCTCTAATAATTCTAGCCTAAACTCTTTGTATGTGTTCCATCCACTTGAGCATTACTATACTTCTCCTGATGTTACCTTTCATGTTTGGAATGGACTTCTGCAACTGGCAGCAGCTTCTTAAATATGTTTACCTGTCACTCTGCAAACCCCTAACTCTGGAGTGACCTCTTTTTCTGAAAATTAAAAGAAAAATTATCTCATTAGGGATGCTTGGTCTGAACAGCAGCTATAGTCACTCCATGAATTTCCCTGTCACAGAGCTGATGTGCTTTCCAGCAGGCAAGCTTTGGAAGTCTGCATTGCTGCTGACAGTGCTGTAACTATTCTCAGAGTTTTCAGTCAGGTCACTTCCAGGAGTGCAGATTACCAAGTTGTATGTAAAAGAAATAAATATTCATATGGAAGTCTGATGGGGACTGATCTAACTTACGCTAAAGCTAATGGCAAATTCCCATTCTCTTGACCCTAACTGGATTAGGGTGAATGTATTATCCTTTTTGTTTAAATGCCACGTTTTACTAATTCCAGTATTTTATCCAAGTTGTGAATGTAGCCCTCACTCAAATGCATTATTCACAATCCTTTTATCAAAAGATACAGCATGCCTCCACAGTCTTCTGTAGACAGCTCACTGCTCACACTTCCCATGCTTCAAACAAACTAAATCTGAGCAGCCTCTTCTTTGATAATACTGTGCTCTGGGTAATTCCTATGGGGTACATCATGCCAAGCAAAAAGATATATAAATAATGACAGGAAATAGCTTGTCTCCAAACACTTTGCAATGCAGGCATCTGCAAAATATTTTGGAAATATCTCTACACAATTCATAGGTCCAGCAGGGAATTTTTCTTTCAAGAAAATTAGGACAGTGCCTGTCACAAGTGGCATCTTTACTTCTAGTACCATTAAGGGCAAACAAAATATATTTACAGAACAAAAGATGGTGTAAATGAAACAAACTACACAACTGCAAAACCTTACAGACTGTGTGGAAAAATTGGAAAAGTGTTTTCCCTCATAACAGAATAAAATCACTGAAATTTTGAAAGGTTTGGACTTTCTTCACTTTTCACATACAAAGCAAAACTACAATATCCCAACATAAAACATAAGCTCAGCTTCTTCTATGCAGAATTCAGTGTTGTAATGACTCCTGAGCACAAGTGGAAATAAAACCATTGAGGTACAGTTAATAATTTCCAGTAGTTATTTATGGATCGGATCAGTATTTCACACACATTCTAAGAAGTAAGTACTCATGCTTGCAGTCCCATGGGGCACAGGGGAATTGCTTATAGCAGAACAAATGAGAAAGTGCTGCTTCCGTGTCAAGGTAATGGTTAACAAAATGGGAGTTTATAAAAAAAAACCCACCCAAACCTTAGGAAAGCTATTTTCAGGTTATGGGATGGCAGATTTATACTTAAACAGATGAATATTATTCACTAAGAAAACACAGCAACATGCAATCCATTTTGAAATAAATATAAAACACATTAGTTAAAATGTGATGCATTCCAATCATAGAATGAACAGTATTAGCTGCATAGCATACAAAATATCCTAAATAGGTGGACCTTGGGAGAAACTAGCTCTCTATTTTACCTCTTTCAATTTACTGCTGCAGCATCAGGAAGGGGGAGCCTCCTGCTTTCCCTAGACTTCAGCACAAGGTTTTGCTCCTCAGCAGTTCCTCTTCCACAAATATCTGAAGCATTTAGAACTGTGACTCACCCAAGCCCACCTCGGGGCAGCTGTAGCATGAGAGGGACTCGACAGCAGTGAGTCCATAGGATTCCTGCTCCGTGGTGCCAGACCTAGTGCAGCTAATGAGATCCTCCCCTGATGCCACTGCTCCTACCAGAGAATGCTGTGAAGAATGAAGCATTTGTGGCACTACGAGAGCTCATAAAAGCAGCTGCCACTGTTTCTCTTCGCTGTCTCCACAAGAGTAAGGGATAAAACCAACAGTGAAAGTTTAAATCCTAAAGGGATAACAATTTACATCAGTATTCTTTGAGTGTCTCAACTCTTAATATGGTTGCCCCCCACCCCAATATCAAGGAGGACAATTTTTCTTTGATGGTATTATCTGGAGGAACTCTTTTATCAGCTACTGGGAAAAATGGCAAGAAGTTCCTTTTTCTTGGACCTTGGTGTGTGCTAAGCTCTCCCTCTGGGCACTAAGCCCCCTGGTTCCTGTCCCTCCCACCCTTCTCCGAGTGGCATGAGCTGCAAAAAGGCAGCCAGCTGCTTTTGCATGCAGGTTTCTGTAAGAAAGGCAAGCTGTAAAATTTGGCTGTAGTCTGTAAGAGAAAGTGGAGGGTGGAAGAAAAACACCTGAGAACTGCTTCAGTAGGAGCTAACTTTCCATTCAGAAGCAAGCCGGGCGACTTTAAAGCCAGAGTTCACTTTATTTGAAGGCAGCAACATTCTTCACACAGAAAAACGGAAGAAAAAAGCTGTCATCAGCCGGGTGGTGGTACCTTTTGAGCAAGTTTGTTTGCCTCCTGACTCCACCTGCTGGGAAGACACCCCACTACCTGCTATCCGCGCTGACATGATTGTCAGGAGCGCTGAGGTGAATCACCGTGCGCTCGCTCCGGCTCCCACCCTCACGGTGGCTCTCTGGATGTTTAAATATTGGGCAGCTTGCAACAGTCATAGCAGAAAAGTCCTCCCCTGCACTACTTCATGCACCACCACTCCACGCTCTTCCGCGAGATAGGGGGTGTTGGCTTAATTGCTCCTGGATGCCCCTGTAGCTGGGGTCTGCTTTTCTGAGGAGACCAGAGGTGCCCAGAGGTGCTTGGAACCAGGTCTTCCTCGGCCTCTTCTTAGAGTCAGTTCGTTTAAAACGCTTACATGACTTCTGGAGCAGAAACGCGATTTAGATGACTCTGCCGTCGGATGAATGCTGCGGCCACCTCTTGTTCATCCTCCCCAGCTTGGTGGACGGTAGGTAGATGGTTCATGCAAGCTGGAAGAGCATCAGCGGAGACGGGGCAGACGGGAGGACGCGGGACAGCATCCCCGGGCGGCCAGGGGCCGCAGCAACCCTCGATCCGCTGCGGGGGCAGCGCCCCACCCGCCCAGGTGCCGGATCGCAGGGGTCCCGCGCTCCACGCCCTACATTCCCCGGTTTTCCTTTCCAAAAGATGCCCGCGACAGAAGCTCAACGCTGGCTCGGATCTGAAGACCTTCTCCTCCAAGAGAAGGAGGAGGAGGCGAGGTCGCCGGCCAGGCCTCTGACATCTCAGGGTCCGGGCTCCTGCGGGGCGACGCACCCTCGGTGCGCTTGGAGCCCGGCCGCCGGCGGACCGGGAGCTCCCGGCCCCGCAGGGAAGGGACCTCCGGTACAAAGAGCAGCCGGCCGGGCGGCCACCCCCGCCTCCCCCGCGGGGACGAGGCCATGCGGAACGCGTCCCTACCCCTGAGCCGCGCGTCTCGGCCCCAGGCAGCAGGACCCCCGGCTCCTCAGGCGCTGTGTGGGCCCCGCTCCCCGCCGCCCCCGCAGCGCCGGCCCCGGCACGGCCGCCCCGCCGGCAGCAG